TAAGGAGCTGAGGATAAGTCCTAAGAGTTGTTTTCTTGATAAGAATAGAGACGGCATCTTTCAGCTGAGGTCTCAACAGTTGCCGTTATTTATGGAATAAAATCAGAGGTCTCGGTATTGCAGACCCTTGTTCTGATGCCCCTCATAGGCTAGTGCAGATAGCTACATGTTTACTTTTGTGGGGACACATGTGAATGAAATTCATGAATAAGCTTCTACACAAACCTGTCCGTGGCAGCATTTCTGATCTGTAGCAATAGAAGGGGAACATGACAAGCAGTTGAACATCTTTGAGATAAACCACCATTCGAAATGCACAGTTGGATGATGTTATTATAAGCTCCTCAAGTTTAATTTACACTTCTTTGAGCCTTCTTGATTATTCAGTCTTAAGTCTGTGGGAGCTTGTTCTTAGGTTCCTAATAATCAGGTAAGAGTTCAGACCAGAGATAGTTGGTTGCTATGTTTAGAACCATATTCCGCCACAATTGAAAAGAGAATTTAGTCCAGGAACCTCTTTGGCCAGGAAAAGTGAAGCAGTTTTCATTGTAGAATGTTCACTTGTGTGTTATAATAGCTACTATTTCCCCAACATTCCTAGATTTGGACAGAGAAGAAGAACCAGTATAGACAATATAATTTTTTTTGCCAACTAATTGAGCCACCCAGCCAGGGCAAATAATTCTTGAATTCTCACCTGACTCAACCAGCAATGACTTTCACCTTTGATCTTTGCAATCCTCTTTAAACAAAATACCATTTTAGTATTTCTTATAATGAAGCGAGTACCAAAGGCATTTGTGTTTTTGTCTTATCTTTCCAACGAAACTATAAGTTTTTTTAGAACAGCTACTATTTATAACTAACATTTTATCTTAAGAAGATTCTAATATACAATAGATATTGAAGAAAAACTATTTAATTGATACGTAGATGTATTTAAATGATTACTTTTTACTATTTTTGTAATGTTTGCATTTTGTATCATAGTGAAATTCTTGATCAGAACATGTGCTACTCTAGAGAATACATTCATTCTGGAAACAGCTCAATATTAATACCAAATTTAAAGCTCAATTTAGGTCAGGCTACATGTTCTTATGACCGATGACATGTTGGGTGTGGAGTCTCAAAATGGTTTTACATACATTTACTCACCCAGGTTAGGAGTTAATCACTGAAACTTAGTGACTAGTTAAGTATTATTGTTATACTAGAGGGCCAATGCATGATTAAAATCAAATGAGATGGTGTCCCACTTCCTGCCTCCCGCCATTGCGAGAAGGCGCCCCACATCCCTACTCCTTGCACAGCCACCTGCACACGCCTCACTGCACACGCAGCCTCCTGCTGATCGGTCGTCACAGCATGATGGCATAAGACATTAGCATATTAGTTCTTTATTATATAGGATATAGCATTTGCATAATAATCTGGCCACTCAGTGTATATCCTATATAATAAAAGGCTAATATGCAAATTGTCCCCTCAACCAAGAGTTCGACCAGCAGGCAGGCTGGTCAACTGCTCATGTTCCCTCTCCTTAGCCAGGCTATCTGGACCCCACCCATGCATGAATTCATGCACATGCACTGGGCCAGATGCATGAGTGGCCAGATTATAATGTGTTCAGAGATCATAATAATCTGGCTATATATATATATATATATATATATATATATAGCCAGATTATTGGCCACATATGTATATGTGAATTGGCCACATATGTATATGTATTGGCCACATATGTGTATGTATATGTGAATATATATATATATTCACATATACATACACACATATCTAAACATCCAGCTACTATCACATGCTCTGATCATCAGGGGGTGTGTGCAAACATGGCAGAGATTGGCGGTAGGCAGCAGAGTATGGAACATGGTGGGCATTGGTCATGGCAGGATGGTGGAGCAGGTGAGCAGAGGGTGCTAGACCAAGGCGCGGCCAGACACTGTCATCAGTGTGAGCCTCTGGTGGTTACTGAAAATTCTTTGCTCCCATGCACTGTGGTTTCACCCAGCACTTGCACCCACTAGTTGCTCTGGCCCTACTCACACCTACAGCCAGTGCCAGAGCCACTGCTTGCACACACTGCTGGCCCTGATCTCTCTGAGCCCTCAGTGGGTGTAAGTGGTGGCTGCTGGCCCTGATCGCCCCTGAGGGCCTCTCTGCCTCCCCCTGCTCCTGAGGGGTGATCAGGGCAGCAGCCACCGCTTGCACCTGTTGAAGGTGCCAGCCCCGGCCCTGCTAGCATCTGCTGCTGGCACTGGCCCCAATCCCTCTGCACCATCAGCAGGTGCAAGTGAGGCCGGTGCTGTCAGCACATGGGAGCAGTAGCAGTGGAAGCAGGGCTGCCAGCAGACAGGGGACTGGGGACTGCGGTGGGTGGGGCCAGGTTGGTGTGTGGAGGATGGGCAAAGACCTACCCCTGTGGCTACCGCAGGCCCACAACTAGCCGGTTTTTCCGTAGGCCACACTGAGGGACCTCACCAGTGCAAGAATCCATACATTGGGTTTCTAGTAAAATATAATTACATTGCCTTGTATTTGGAGTCAGGAAAACAGACAGCAGCAGCCCCTAACTCTGCAGGAGAGGGAGAATAAGTCACATAAAACATGACATTTTAGTGATGTCTTTCAAAGCGGTAAGAATTTCCCAGGAGAATCATGGGCAGGCACATCAGGCATAGGGAACAGTATGTGTCAAGGTGCCATGTATTTCAAAGCATGGAAACTATCTTCACCCTCGAATTGTTTAAGAGCACACTCACTCATTTCAGTGTCTCTGAGAGTCAGTGACAACAGAAGAAACAAAACAAATCCCAGCTTGTGTAATTATTTAATGTTTATTGAACACTATCGTACTCATCACTAAACTGAATCTTTTTAGGCCCTACCTCCACCCAGTGAGTGCCTTCTAACTAATAAGACAACCGAGATAGGGATGAAAGCAGCATCTAATCAACCAGCAGCTGTCTGAAAGGACCTGTGGCCGTCCACGTAGAAGCTTAGAGATGCAGGGCTGCACTTTGAGTTGCGCTGGGGTCTATTTGGCAGCAGGTGTGGGTTTATTTTGCTTCAGGCAGCTGAACTCAAGGTAGAGGGGCTGCCCATTGTGGTGCCTGGAAATTTTATGGTGGTCCAAGCGTAGTCCCAATTAAAAAACCTGTATGTGACCAGCTGTTTTCTAAGCTGTCCTCAATATGTGTGGATTCACAAAAACTATTAAGTGTTCTGACACCAGATAATCAGAGTGAGACTTTATACAATTTGGGAAAGGTCAGCCAGAAATTTTGAGAATAAAATAAATATCTGTTCATGCAATTATAAAACCTTACTGATTGAAATCACTCTTTCCTATGAAAACTTATAGGGAATAATCTCTAAGATTATTACAGGGCTATAGTTAAAATTGTCAAAATTTTGTTCTTATGTCACACAGGACATATTTTGAAATATTAATCTTTTTAAAGAAAACAAAACACAGAGAATTCTATTTTGTTAGTTGAAATAAGTCTAATCTCAACTGTATATACCAAAAGAATTTTTTTTCAAAGTTCCAGGTATAGTACTATTGTGACATATTGTCTAGAATACAAAGAATTCTAAAATGAAAGGTAATTATTTATTTTTGCTTTGATGGTTTACATTAGTGATTTTCACCAGTGTGCTGCAAGAATTTTTAAAACATGCAATACTTATTTAGTCAGGGGCATTGATCTCTTTTCCCTTAAATTGTTAAATGAAAAAATGACAACAGCCAACATGACAATAGCCATCCATGATGAATGAATCAAAATGATACCCATTTTTTTTTGTCAGATTGGCAAAAAATACAATGTATTTTTGTTATGTGTCAGAATTATAATAATTAGTTTATGTGTCCCATGAGATGATATAGGTTGAAAATTTCTGGTTTCCATCATAGTGAATTAATAGCTTATCCAATATAAGCCTATTAATATATAGATTTAATTTTAATTTTAAAATATTATTTTAAAATAATATTTATATGAGACCAAGTAATAAATAAGGATTTTGGATGACTGAACTAATTTGTGTGCATTTTTCACTTCTTATATTTTATTTCTACTCATCTTGATTTTGATGTTAGATCAGTTTTCTTTCTCGTATCCCCTGTACTTATTCTTTACATTTACATTTTTGCTGAGCACTGAGCTGCAGTTCTGAAGTTATAATATTCCTGTGAACTGGGGCAGGCTACTTAAGAATGCTGAGCCACCACCAGCTCATCTTTAAAATGGTGAAAATGATGTTGGTCCTGACTCCATTCCAGGGGTCCTGGTGATCAAATGCTTTCTTGCTTACAAAAATGTCAAGCAACACACAGTTGAAGGGAGTATCATATTGATTGTATATTTTAAAGTTTATATTTGTTCATATTATAACAACAAGTTTGCCTTAGGTAATAAGAAAAGTCTGGTACTATCTTTGCAGAAGGAGGGAACTTACTCCTGAAGTTTGCATATACATCTTTGTACCTGCAAGTGTGGATGCGAGTGTTAACCGCACCTCACTCCCAAAGCTTCAACTCCATTATCCTGGAGGTCACAATTCACGGAACAATGCATTTTCACATTCTTTTCTGTCACCCTTCTCATGCTACAGGAAAGACTTAAGTGGCAGATGTGTTTAATGAGAATAACTTCCGAAATCTTAACCACAGAGACCAGACAGAGCTAGCTTTGGGATCTACTTCTGAGAATTGACTCTCACCCTTACTTATTCTCTCTTTCTATTCCTTCCATCCATGGGCCACTTGTCCAAATTCTTTTGCAACTAAGGTTTGTGGATGTGTGAAATATATGTGTATCTTAAGAGGCGTGTACAGTACTTTAAAATTGTATGTTATTCCTTTATATATAATTTGTGTATACCTGTTTGTCAAAGATACCAGATAGCAACCAAGATGCAGGTACAGTTTGAAAATGTATCTCTGAGTAACAAAATTGCATTCCTCATTACAGAACATGATGAGTGTGTCACAAATCAGCACAACTGTGATGAAAATGCTCTGTGCTTCAATACTGTCGGAGGACACAACTGTGTTTGCAAACCAGGATACACGGGGAATGGAACCACGTGCAAAGGTAAAAGGTTTCAATGCCAATACCTCTTCCTTTAGGAATCATGTTAGCCGTCTTCACCTCCCTCAACCCCTTCTCATCACTGTTATCTACCTCCTGGGTACTATCCACACACATTGAGAACTTTGCAGTGTGGCTCATAGTCTTCCTCCTGGTTACATCAGTGGTTAATTGGCCAAATTGTTCAACAACTTTGACTTCATGTTCCTTAACCTCAACCACAGTGATTTTCATCTCTATTCCTCTAGCACTGTGGTTCTCAATCTTTCCAATGCCGTGACCCTTAAATACAGTTCCTCATGTTGAGGTGGCCCCTAACCATAAAATTATTTTCATTGCTACTCTATAACTGTAGTTTTGCTTCTGTTATGAATCATAATGTAAATATCTGTGTTTTCTGATGGTCTTAGGCTCTACAGCAGCTACCCACAAATTGAGAACTGCTAGGAGAGGTTCTTTAAAATTGAACTTTAATTTTTCTGACCCTCCATTTTCATTCTATTTACCAGTCTCCTTCTAGGTTAAGATTTTTTTTTTTTTTCAGCAACGTGTTCAACTGTGAAATATCTGTATTTTGAGCAGTCTCACAGCTTTTCTTCTCTATCTAATCTCTTGAGCTGTTGATAATAATTGACTGGGAATTTTAAATCTCAACATTTTATAATCTCCCATTTTTAGTTCCTTTGCCGATACCAATAAGTAATTCTTTTAAATGTCCTGTTGAGCTCAGATTTTCATTTCTATCAGTGGCTATTCCAGCTACAGTTCACCACCAAATGGTAATTCACTCTTTCACCAATGCCCTCTGTTCCTTCATCAGATGAGCTTACCACCTATTTCATTAGGGAAATAAAGGTTCTATTTTGGAACCTCTGCCAATTCCCATAGGATAAAGTCCATATTCATTATTATGTCATATAGATTTATTTTTTATTTGTCTCATTTAAGCTTTTTAACTGCTCATTTTTAAAATGTATTGTGTCCATCATCCTGGAGATTATTAAAATTAATTTGCTACAACACTGTGTGTGTGTGGAGGAAGTAACAGGGTGGCTGTTAATGCAGTGGCCTGCGAGCATAGGTCTTTAGACTGCTCTAAAGAAATACATGGGATGCAAATATGGATGGGCCAGAGATTACTCTGGTTTGTGAAAGTCCATGGAAATCTGTGATTTAGAGCAAGCATGTCAAACTCAAAGGCTAACATTAACAAGGTTTAATTTTATCTGGGCCTCAAAAAAACAAAAGCTTCAAGTTTCATAGAAATATAGGTTTATTTAGATAGAGAAATGCTGAATATGAAGTGCTGAAATAAATGAGTAATCCTTAACATAAAATAATAGAGCATTTTAATAAAAATTAATATTTTTCTTGAATATTAACTTACCAGACAATGGGTAACTGCACAAATTAATAAGCATAATGCAAATAAACCTATTTTTCATGTTCTCAAAAAGTGAAATATTTCCTGTTGTGCACACCAAACAAGTCAGTCTAAGACTAATAATGTGGCAATCGGCTGCTAAAATATTCACTGCTAGTATTAGTGGAGAGAAATGGTGCACTTGCACGTAAGGTGTGTAAGGGAAATGAATACAACACAATTATAGTAATCAGTCATTAGCAAACATTGTAGTTCATTATTAATAACTAGAGGCTTGGTGCATGGATTCATGCACATTGAAAGGAAATTAATTAGAAGGTGGCTGGCGAAGCAGGACTGGATGAGACAAGCTAGACATGCCCTGGAGCCAACTTCCTGGAGTCCCTCTCTGTCTGGTCTCACCTGGAGTGGTGCCAGGGCTTGAAGGGCATCTACAGAGTGAGCAGGATCCCTTGGGCAGGTGGGGGTCCCCCAATCTGGCCTGTGGGGATAGGGCCAAAACTGGCAGTCTGACATCTCCCAAGGGGCTCTAGAGTGCGAGAGGGCACTCTGCAAAGTTGCTGTTGCTAGGCAGCTCCTGCTTGAGTGTCTGCCCCCTGGTGGTCAGTGCATATCATACCTACTGGCCAATTGGCTAGTTGCTTAGCCTTTTATATATATATAGAGATTATGTATAACAGGATATTGTAATACTTAAGTTACAAAATTTTTATTAAAACGTTTCATACATACTGTCTTATAAACAGTATTTTCCACAAAAATATTCGTTGTGGGCTGCTTGCGGGCCCACAGCCCACGAGTTTGACATGGTTGATTTAGAGCATTGTGGAAAAGACCCTGTAAATGTAACAAGCTGGTTTAGTTTACCTGTGACAGGTCTTGCCAGGCTAAGGGAACAGGCTCTGAACCTCACAGAGCCAAAGAATTTACTAAAGGGGCAGAGGGCTCAGTTTCATCATCTTGTTTTTCTCACCTTCTTTGAAGGAAGCACATGTCCAAAGATCCTTTACAATGGCTCAGACCTTGGCTATTTTTTTCTACTCACTTGCAAATCCACTATAAGACAACAGGCTATGCAGTTTCTTTGCCCTTGGTCCTGGGTCCAGACCTATCTTTGGCATGAAAGATGTAAGACTCTTTCTGAAGACAACTATAGCAGTCTTTTTACTCTTAGCTAATTCATCACCAGGCTTGATTTAAACCTTTTTGAAAGCTGGGGCATTTCTCTAATATTTTGGCACTTTGGCCAGTGTCTGGAAATAGGAAATGACTAAATTAGGATTTAGTCATTTCCTATTTTCTCTAGACAGTGGTTTGCTCCTTAAGAAAACTACATTTTTAGGTTTGATTTCAAGCTGGATTATTATAATGATGTGAAATTTTAATTCTAATTCATTTGCTATTGTGTAAGATTACTTTTTTTTTTAAAACACAAAGTTCTGTATTTTATTTTATAGGTGATTTTTCCCCCCTTAACATTGGAAAGAACATTGTTTTAGAAATGGTACTGTTTGGAAAATACTGTGTGAATTTGAAATTAGAATAGCATTTATAATTTGATGTCCACATCTCTAAGGGAATAAAGAAGAGCTGGACTTAGAGCATCTTGAACTACTTACTTCTAAAGTGCTAAAGTCATGTATCTGAATTATTTTAGCATTTTGCAGAGACGGCTGTAGGAATGGAGGAGCTTGTATTGCTGCTAATGTGTGTGCCTGCCCACAAGGCTTCACTGGGCCCAGCTGTGAAACAGGTAAGAATATCATTCCACCTGCTAGAAAATGAATTTTTGCACTAATGTACCAAAGTAATCCATGAGGAAAATACTGTTTCATGTGGGCTCTCAGAGCATGGAGCTATTAATAAGGAAGTGCTAAGAGGGAAGAGAGGAGAGGGAGGAGGGTAGAAGGAGAAGGGAGAAGAGAGCTGGTCTCAGTAATGCATATTTACTAGGTAGTTCCCCAATCTGACTCTAAGGAGGTTTTGCAACTATTATAACTAGAAGCATATTAAACATTTTCAGCAAGATATGTGGGATTGCCCATGATTTTATACATCACAATTTATTTTACTAATTTAGAGCTCATTTTTTCCTGGTATCTATCTAACTATATCAAAATGTAGACTTCAAGCTCATGGCCAACTCATGTCCTAGGACACATTACCTTCTGCAGTCACATTTGAGAATTTTTAATAAATCCTTATCTGGCCCAATCAATTGCTTATTTACAAAATATTTAGTTTTCTATTCAGTTAATTATTTCTTATTTAAGTCCATTTTACCTACTCTTTCTGATGGATACTACCCTGTTTCCCTGAAAATAAGACAGTGTCTTATATTAGTTTTTTCTCCCAAAGTTGCGCTAGGTCTTATTTTCAGGGGATGTCTTATCTTTCCAAGCGCTAGGTCTTATTTTCGGAGGATGTCTTATTTTGGGGGAAAGATGGTAATACTAGAAACTTTAAAAATATTTTATTTTTAATTCTTTATTGTTTAAAGTATTACATATAGTATTACATATGTCTCCTTTTCCCCACATTGACCTCTCCCCGGCCACCCCTCCAATCCCTAGTGTCTGTGTCCATTGGTTATGCCTATATGCATGAATACAAGTCCTTTGGTTGATCTCTGACTGCCCCTCCTGCCTTCTCTCTGAAGTTTGACAGTCTGTTAGATGCTTCCCTGTCTTTGGATCATCAGTTTATGTTCATTATATTCCACTAATGAGTGAGAGCATGTGATATTTATCTTTTTCTGACTGACATATTGCTTAGCATATGCTCTGCAGGTCCATCCATGCTGTTGCAAATGGTAAGGAATCCTTTTTTTTTTTTTTTTTTTTTTTTTTTTACAGCAGCATAGTATTCCATTGTGTAGATGCACCACAGTTTTTTAATCCACTCATCTGCTGATGTGCACTTAAGCTATTTCCAAATCTTAGCTATTGTAAATTATGCTGCTATGAACACAGGGGTGCATATAGCATTTCTTATTGGTGTTTCTTGGGATATATTCCTAGAAGTGGGATTATTGGGTCAAATGGAATTTTCATTTTTAATTTTTTGAGGAAACGCCATACTGTTTTCCCCAGTGGCTGCACCAGTGTGCATTCCCACCAGCAGTGCAAGAGGGCTCCATTTTCTCTGCATCCTCGCCAGCACTTGTTTGTCAATTTGTTGATGATAGCCATTCTGACAGATGTGAGGTGACACCTTATTGTTGTTTTGATTTGCATCTGACTTTGGATGATTAATGACTTTGAGCATGTTTTCATATGTCTCTTGGCCTTCTGTATTCCACTTTTGAAAGGTGTCTATTTAAGTCCTTTACCCATTTTTTATTGGATTTTTTATCTTCCCTTTGTTAAGATGTATGGGTTCCCTATAAATGTTGGACATTAGGCCCTTATCAGATATAACATTAGCAATGTGTTCTCACATGCAGTGGGCTTTCTTGTTGTTTTGTTGATGATTTCTTTTGCTGTGCAGAAGTTTTTTTGTTTTTGTTTTGTTTTTGGTATACTTCCATTTGTTTATTTTATCCTTAGTTTCCGTTGTCCTAGGAGCTGTATTGGTAAAGATATTGCTACAACATAGGTCAGATATTTTGCTGCCTATTGATTCTTCTAAGACTTTTATGATTTCCTTCTTACATTTAAGTCCTTTATCCATTTTGAGGGTTTTTTTTATGTATGGTGTAAGTTGGTGGTATAGTTTCATTTTTTTTGCATGTGTCTTTCCAATTTTCTCAATACCATTTATTGAAGAAATTGTCTTGACTCTATTGTATACTCTTGCCTCCTTTGTCAAATATTAATTGAGTATAACGGCTTGAGTCAATTTGTAGGTTCTTTGTTCTGTTCCATTGGTCTATATGTCTGTTCTTGTACCAGTTTTAAGAACAGTTGCTGGGTAATTTAGCTTGATATCTGATATTGTGATCCCTCCAACTCTGTTATTTTTTTCCTCAAGATTTTTATGGCTATTTGGAGTCTTTTATTTTTATTCCATGTGAAGTTTTGGAGAGTTTGTTCTAGGTCTGTGAAATATGCCATTAGTATTTTAATGGGGATTGCATTAAATCTATAAATTGCTTTGGGTAGTATAGACATTTTAATTTTGTTGCTTCTATCAATCCATTAACATGATATATTCTTCCATTTGTTTATGTCTTCTTCTAGCTCTTTTTTTTCAGTGTCCTGTACTTTTCTGAGTACAGATCTTTTACCTCCTTAGTTGTTTATGCCTAGATATCTTAATATTTTTGGTGCAATGATAAATGGGATTTTTTTTTTGTTTGTGTCTCTTTCTGTGAGTACATTATTGGTGTAAAAAACCCATTGATTTCTCGGTGTTAATTTTGTATCCTGCTATATTGCTGAATTCATATATTAAATCTAGTAGTTTTTTGATTGAGTACTTATGGTTTTCTATGTTAAAAACATATTTTAAAAAATACATGTAGTTTATATATAGCTTATGACCCCAAGTAAGATGATTCTTCAGTTGAAAATACACCTTGAGTATAAAAAGAATGTTTTGAGTAGTAGGTCCTAATGAAAATCATGTGAGTAGTAGTCTTGGTTACTATGGATCAAGTAGGTTCTACCAGCAGATGACCTGAGAAAGTCTGGTTATAATCCCCAGGAGAGAGCTGCTGCCAGCAGTGCCTGGTAGTTTCCATCTCAGGGCGCTTCCCACAAATCTGAGTGCTATAGAAGCAGTGCATGTTTTGCCTTGATCCTACTTACAAAGTCATCTGGTTTAATGAAAACACTGACTGGTCAGGATGTGAGACAGAAAACCTTCTGGTTCATTTGGAAAGTGAGCATTTGCTGAACTCGTACTGCCACTGTTCACAGAAGGTTGCTCACAAGAGGGCTTGCATCACTAGATCATTTCTTTCTACGAGTTCCTCTATGTGGTTCTTTTCAAACTGCCATTGGTTACAAAGGTTTCTAATAGAAAACACATAGTGACTATCTTAATTCCTGGTACTCTTTCTTATTGGGATCATATCCTAAATGAGGTATTCCCAAGCTCATCACGCATGTGAATCACCCATAGAGCTTGTTAACTTTTTAAAAATACACATTTCTGCCTGGCCAGTGTTACACAGTGGTTCAGCACAGATCCATGACTCAGAAGATCTCAGTTTGATTCCAGATCAGATCACAGGCCCAGTATAAGCTCCATCCCCAGTACAGGAGGCAGCCAATTAATGATAGTCATCATTGATGTTTCTCCCTCTCTCTCTACCTCTCCCTGAAATCAATAAAAAATACAGATTTCAAGTAATTAACTGTCACAGGATTTTCTAGATCAGAATTAGGTCCTTCCAATCCAATGTTTCTATAAGGTTTTTTCCTGTGATCTCCAGTAACATACCCACACAAGGTACAGTGTGATCCTACGTAGTTGACAGCACCTCTGGAGACCATGTTTCCTGAATACAGTGTTTTGTACTGCTTCTGTTGCACTGAAACTCTGGATTTTTCAGAGCATTTCATTCATGTGAAATTTTGAAATAAAGACTGTCCCTGAAAATCTGGGATGAATAATGGCCATGTCATTCTTCCACTGGAAAAAAACTGTGATGAGATTATAAAAATCTGGAGTGATCTAAAATTAATTTAAGTAATGTAATATTTAATATCGGAGTTAAAAATAACCCAATATAATATTTAGCTTTCCTCTATTTAATTATCCTTGAACTTCCAATCTAAAGAAGAAGAAGATTCCAGACTTACTCTTAGGAGCTCCCTGTAACAGCCTGGGGTTTTGAGGACAGACATGGGTTCATAATCTAGTTCTACATTTACTTTGTGGTGTTGGGCAAGTTACATAACTTCTCAGTGCCTTGTACTCTCTATGCATCAACTTGTTCTTCATAAGTCTCCTCCAAGATAGATATTTTCTCCACTTACCAATGAGAATATTGGGTTCAGAATGATTACATTTTTTTCTAAGGTCACAGTGTTAGCAGCTGTATATAATAAATGCCTTTCTACTCCTAAGCCCAGATATTTCCTCTGTAGCAGAACTTCTCAAAGTTTTTACTTAAGTCACTAACGCCAGAGGAGAGAGAACATCTTTATCCAGGGAGGGCCCAGAATGGCCCAGCTCAAGGGGAACTGAAATGTCTTCAAAACAGTATGTTTTATCCTGAAAATTGAGTAAAGTTCGTGTTATAAGACAATGGGTCATTGTTTATCTCTGCCTTCTAGCATCTTTCAGCCCAAGATCATATTTCACTATTTGGGAAGCAAGCATTCCTGCCTCCTATCTGGAAAAATAAAATACTACTACTTACCTCAAAGCATCTGTCCTATTACTGGTCCAGGTTAATTCCTAACCACTCACCTTCCAACACCGTCACTTTTGTTGATGCAGTTATAAATAGAAGTTGTACCCTTAACAAATAACTTTAGATGAGAAGAGACCCATGTAAAAAAGAATCTTTCAATTATTTATTCAACAAATATTTATTTAGGATATGTTATATGCTGAGCACTGATCTAGAAACAGGATGTAGCAGTGAACAAAACGGAGGCCTTGTCTGCAGGGGAATTTTGGTCTAGGCATATAGAGGCACTACAAATAGGAAAAGAAAGAAATATATAAAATATTATTAGGTAACAATAGGTGCTGTAAAGAAATTTAAAAAGCTAGTATAAATTATTTTATTGACCTGTGGACCTACACATGACAGGTGTTATTACTATCAATAATTACTTAATCAATAAAAGTAAT